CTGCAAAACATGACAATCAGTCCCCATTTTGGGACAAAAACATTTCTAATTGTTGATATTTAACCTCTATAAAAGAGTAACATATTTTCCCCAAAAGTAAGAAAAACTACTGTGTATAAATTCCTGAGCTGTGGGACAAGAGAAAAGTTTAAGAGAGCCTGGCAGGAGGTAGAAAATGCTGCAGGAGTTAAAAAAAAAAAAACCAAAACTTTATTACTTTCACTTAGTAGTTTTATACTGTGATAATAAAAAATACACATTTTATTAATACTTATTCATCTTGCTTACTGTCTATCTGCTCTCTCAAGAATATAAGCTCAGAGAGAGAAAATTTTTTTTGTTTTTACTCATTGTTATATTCCAAAACTTAAAACAATACCAAGTACATCACAGGGGCTAAATAATTACTAGTTAAATAAATTAATTCAGAAGGTTGTAAATGAGGGATGCCAAATGCAAATATTTGTAAAGATTGACAAAAATCAAATATTTATTATGTATAAAAAATTTCTGCAGTCAAAGAGTATACTAAAATTATTGCAAATTATATTAAGAAATTAAAATAAATATCTTTCAGTTATACTTATTCCATGAGATTAAAGCTACTCTTAAAAAATAATTTCATTAAAAAAATTATAAAATTTTTCTGTCATCTTCAAAAAGTTCTCTGTGCCATCACAATGACGCTAGGCTTAAATGAAAACAAAAGTTGATTTCAAACTTATGGGGAACTTTTTACAAATATGGAAAGGCTAGTAACAGAAAAAAAAACATTGGACACTTGAAAAAAAAGTGAGCAATAAAAGGTGTTGGTATTTTACACAGTAAGAAATACATATGAAGATATAATTTCCCTCTCCAAGAGTGAGGGAAAGATGTAAATGAATTTAAATAGATATGAACACAGTTACCAATAACATTTATAAATGGCTATTAAAATAAACTATGCTATACTTAAATTAGAATTGATAAAAGACTAAACAAGGGGTGTAACCTAACACATCCAGTTGAATTCTGCGAGGAACAACACATGGAAAAGTTCACGTGGTTCTGACCCTATATATATATATATATATATATATAGGGTGTATATATATAGGTCTCGACCCTATATATATATAGGTCTGACCCTATACTATATATCAAATCCCAGCTTTCTTATTCCTATGCTAAATACTAAAACATTATTACAGACATAAAATAATTGTCATCTGCATGCATGCCCATAAACAAGGTAATTTGGCAAGGGATTGCATTCTTTAAACACTATAGGTAAAACTTTCCTAAAGCAGTACAGGTAAATTATTCTATGATATATAATAATATATAATATGTCAATTCTGTATTTTTCATTCATTCACTCAATTAAAAATATTGTGGGCATTCAGGTATTATGGTAGATAGTATAGATAGAGAGATGAATAAAACATGGTTAGTTGCCTTAACAGTGCTCACAATTATATGAATACACAATCAAAAAAACTAACATTACAATTAGATAAATGCTATTGCTTTAAAAAATTGTTTTCTGTTACACATGGACTAAAACTCAAAGCACAATAATAAAAATATCAGTTCTGTTTTAGGTATTTAAATCATTATTGCGAAATTCTCTTTTGCAGTATCTGATTAACCTCAGTAGTCAAGTAAGATATATATAATAAATATGCTTTTTAACAACATAATTCTAACTTATTTTATTATCATAATTATTTTTAAAACAGAAAATATTTTAACTTCAAATGTATACTTAATTTAGTCTTTTATTAATAATACAATAAGTTACAGTGGAAAATCTTCAAAGTCTTTTATATTGCTCCAAATAAAACACAAAGTGCTCTCCTCAATTCAACAGGAAAAGGCCTGTTTCTGAGAAAGCATTTGAGTATATGTTTTATTTGCACAACATGCTTATTCAGGCCTTTATGCTTAGGTAAATCTACAGACTTTTATGCTATAAAAAGTTATGCAAGAAATCTATGCCCCTGAAAAGTTATGCAAGAAATCTATACCCCTGATATTTCCTAGGGGAAAAACTTCAAAAGCATTACTTTCAAATAAGTATAGAATTTCCAAAGAAGTTCTTCATATCCCTGATTTTAAACTAGACATCTGCAGGAAGAGAGAAATTTGAATTTGTTGCGGAATAAGTGAAGACAAATTCTGTGCTTGATGAATATTGCTGAGTACTGAAACATAGATGCCTGTCAGAAACAAGCCATCTGCAACAGTAAAAATACTTTAAATTTACATAGCACCTTCATCTGAAGAATTTACTTAGCACTAAGTTGGAAAATGCTAAGAGAAGCAATATTATACTTAAAAAACGGTATGAAACGAGGAAAATAAAACTGGCTGTATCAACTTAGCAAAACAATATAGCATTTTGTCAGGAGTTAAACCAATCAAGCAACAAATTTTACTGATGTAATTTAGGAAATTGACCAGTTGTTTGAGATAAACGAATCAATAGCTTTTAGTATCATCCACATAGACTACCAGATTATTTTTAAATAAAGATTAAGTAATGTCTGAAGACATTTATTGAAAAGTAAGTATTTTAAAAGATGTTGAGTGTTTAAGTTTTAAAAAGAATACTATTTAGCAGCAGACTTTTTCAGCTGTGAAAATAAAGTAATTTAAAAGCAAAATGTACCTTAAAGCATGAAGAACAATCATCGTATTCAAAAAAGTAATAGGAATTGTTATTGATAAATTTCCAATTGATGGTGCTGAGACCTCATTCTTTAATCCATCCATTGCATTTTTATTGAGTGTTTTCTTTGTGTCAAGAAAAGTGCTGGCCTCTGAGGGATTCTATGATGAGCAACCCCCACCCCTAAAGATTTCTTCTTTTAACAGAGCCTTGTTCAGTGAGGATTTTTCTTTTTGTAAAATTTATACCTTAAAAACCCATTGAATTTTTTCTTCTTCACATGAAATTTAAGGGAGAATAATAGTGATAACCAGTTGTATTTGTTATTTCTTAAGTTCTTCATAACTCTAGCTTTCTGAAGCTCTTTATTTTATATAGCTATTCCTTACCTTTCAATGGGATTACATCCCAATGAGCACATAAGTTGAAAAGATAGTAAGCAGGCAATACATTTATTAATAACATACCTAACCTATTGAACATCATAGCTTAACCAAGCCTACCAATAAATATATATTGCTTTCATGCTATCATAAAGCCAAAAAATTGTAAGTTGAACTATCTTAAGCTGGGGACAGTCTGTATATATAATAACATTGCAATATAATAACATTGCAATACTCATAAGAAGTGCAAAATTGGCCCAGTAAAAGCCTCTGGGAAAGAAAAGCTGTTTTGTGAATCTACCTATAGTAATCTTCACCCCAACAGGACATTGTTTTAGCACAGATTCTCTTGAAAGCAGAGACTGAGGGAAGGATTAAAATACGAATCCCTTATTTGAGAACTACAAGCAAAGGACAATAACTGTGAAAAAAAGGTGGAAGGGAAGCAAAGATGCAAAGCACTACAGTACTGTGATGGTTAACTTTAGGTGCTAACTTGACTGATTTAAGAGATGCCCAGATGCTACTGAAAGTTCAGCACTTGTCCCCAAGGCCACATCAATAGAAGGAGGACAAGTGGTTTGAGGAGAAAGAAAGGGAGGTTTATTAATGAGGAAAATGGAGACTTCCATCTTAAAATGCCATTGTCCTAATCATAAGCAGAAATACAGAACTTTTAAAGGGAAGGTTTCCAGCTTCAGGCTATTGCTATTTAACTACAGTTGAAGATTTTGACCCATCCCACCTCACCAAAGACAATCTCTCTTGACCTCTGCCGGCCTGGACCTCCCCGACCTCTGCAAGACAATTCCACTGAGGCATCTCCTGTGGCACAAAGAACAAAGCATATTCCTCTGCCCCTCTGACCACTGCCCTGAGTCAAGGATGTAGGTTTTAATTCCCAAATGGAGTGGGGGAAGTTTTAAAAAGACAGAAAATATTTTTACCTTTTCTTAGGCCATTCTCTCTTACACAGAGAGGTGGAAAAGCATTATTTCCGGGTATGTCTGTGAAGGTGTTTCTGGAAGAGGCAGGTATTTGAATCAGCTGACTAAATAAAGAAGATCTGCCCTCACTCAATGTGGCTCTACACCATCCAATCCACTGAAGGATCAGATAGAACAAAAAGGCAGAGAAAAGGTGAATTTTCTTTCTTTTTTCTGGAGATGGGACGATCTTCTTATCCTGCCCTTTGACATCAGAACTCCAGGTTCTCCAGCCTTTGGACCCTGTGACTTGCACCAGTGGCCCTCCAGTTTCTCAGGCCTGATTCAGCTCCATACTGAGACTGACACCATTGGCTTCCCCAGCTCTGAAATCCTTAGACTTGGACTTAGACATGCCACCAGTTTCTCTGGTTCTCCAGCTTGCAGCCAGCCTATTGTGGTACTTCTCAGCCTCCATAATTGTGTGAGCCAATTCCCCTATAAATTTCCTGCCATTTAGCTGTCTATCTATTTATCTTTATATCCTATCAGTTCATTGTCTCTGGAGAACCCTAATACAACTATTTTGTCATATGTTACTTTACTGAATCTCACTTCATGAAGTGCCACTAAAAGGCAGGGAAGGCTGTTCAGAGTCATAATAGCTTGATACTTTGAAATTCCCAATATATCTTGGAACTTATAGGAGATGAAGACCAACGTGTAATACAAGATTAGGGAGACTCTTAACAAGATTGGGCTTCTCTAAGACCTGTTTTACAGGGCCCAGGTAAGTGATACTCTAGAGACACAAAGTAACTCAGCCACCCATTTGTTACCTAGACTCTCCATAAATTATGTTCATTACCAAGCATAAAAATTATGGATAAATTTTGCTAAAAATCAAAATATACTTTTGTTGGTGTGTTGTCAAATTGATTATTGGCTTCTTAAATATTCCACAATAAGAAATGTTTCTGTGCTGTATTCAAGTGGTTTTAGTTATTGTCTTTATTAGTATTTCTATCACCC